GGCTTTTAGGGGCATCTTGAGATACAAAGGCAGCAGTGCTTCCACGAGTACATATCGAGTCCAGATATTGAGATATAATCGAGCACCCCAATTACGCATAAGCTTGTAACCAACCCGTGCAGCAGCCGGCGTATCAGCAGGTGCCTGTTTAAGGGTTAAAATCCAGTGTTAGACATACAAATATCATATTCGCTTCAGCAGAACCAAGAAGGCGGTCAGTATTTTCACGTCGATCACTGAGGACAGAGTTTCCGGGGACCTGGCAGTGAGCGCATTGCAATCCACAGCAAAAAAATGGTGTCGTGTGAAAGAAAGGGGGCAAAATCTCGTCAAGGCGGTCATATAATTAATCTCGCACTGAGCGTGGGGCAGAGAAGGTGAGTTAACTTATGATTTAGGCGAATACGAGCGATGAAGCACAGGAGCGACATGAACTCTAAACTTGACATACATATCACAGCAATAGTGGTAATAAAGTACGTCTGATCCTCGCGTTTTGACTATTCACGTGTCGTACTCAGGCAAACAGGCCTCTGTCAGACAGTGCCAGTACAAAAGGACGGAAGGGCGTGAATCGTCCGGTATTTTGGAATGAACGTTTGTCAATCACAAAAGGTTGAAGGCCACCTAAGCCTTTACATAGTTATTTTCAGCCTTATACAGGTTATCGGAATAAAAGAGGATGATAACTGTGGAACTGGAATTCCGAAATTAGATCAATATTTTACGCTGAAAGTCTGTATAAAAGCTACTTGCAGTCCAACTTACTGATCGGGGCTTGAGTTGTCAGTAGGGCAGTTGGGAACTACCGCAGAGGGGGCGGGGGGAGAAGACAGTCGGCTGTAGAAAAAACAGTTGAACAGATGCGTTGCCTGGCGTTGGAAGGCCGAGAGTTGCTCAAAGAAGAGGTACTTTAGGTAAAAGTTGATGATTGTGTCGTTGAGGAAAGAACCGGGCGTTAGACAGGCCACATCTTCAGTAGTTAAGAGAATACCATCTGAGGACCCAGGAGGCCGATATACGAACCTGTTTAATTTCAGAGACAGGGAGGGAGAGAGACCACAAATTACAAAAAAATCTAATAGGCTTAGGGGAGAAAGCGAAGAAAATACTTTCATGGGAATGGAAAAGGCAAAAGAGAACTGTGGGTGGGGTTCCAGATTCCAATATCCATTTAAAGCAAACATACCCGTTAGGTGCTTGGCTGTCATGAGAAGAATTGAGTTCCGTCGAAGGAACGGTGGGGGTAGAATCGTCTGTGAGAATCACGAGATCTTCATTTAGAACCTGAGGCGGTGTCGGCGCCGCCTAAGTAAATAGCAAGGAGAGTTCATAAGGGACCCAGAGCAGGACCGGTAGCACAAGACAATAAGGAATTTTAAGAAAGAGGAGATTGACGAAGAGGGTTTAACTATTATTTATTATACAAAGGTAGTTCCTCCGGCAGACTCCTGCGATCGAGAGCGTAAAAATGCATCTTTGATATGAAGAACTACGACTGGGGATACATTTCTGAACGAATTTTCTAACCAAAATTGTGGCCGTTCTCAGTGGCATCAGTAAGCGAAGGCCAACCTTGTCAACCTTCATAGGTGGGATGAGACCTCATTTCAAGAATCAGTAGCTTGCTTTTTGCAACCAAGTGATTGAAACAACTCTCCACAGGAATGTTCTAAATTACCCAGCAGGGAAATTCTCAACCGATATATGAGAGTACTCAAAATTAACTAGCTTTTTGAGAGAACAATAAATGGACATAAAATTCGGGTTGATATGTGATCTGGACGGTCCATGGCCTATAAACAGACCGCAAATCGGTGGCATAGTATAGCTTTCCTAATTGTGTATGATTTTCGAACAGTGAGTATTTGACGGCAATGAAAAAAATATCCGCTAATATAGCTTAGAATCGTCCTTACAGGACCAATCATAAAAAAAACATCCTACTTGTGTCTGCCCAGCTGATAGGCATTTCGGAATAGACTCATCATATACTTTTTTCGAAAAGGAGCGTAGAGTAAGTGAAACCACAAATACTTTGCCTGCATATGCTACAAAGGCCAGGGTAACTTGTTTTTAATCCATACTAGTTCAGCTAAATATGTATTTTTGCATATCTATTCATATTTAAGCCAACCCTATCCCATGAAAATAACCGTGTGCCTACAACCGTCAAAATGACTTAGGCACATTTTCTCGGGAGACAATATCATGGTTAGAACAGGGTTGGAGAACTCAGAAGGGAAGAGAACTCATCGTTCTATAATTTAGAATCAAAGGCCGAATTAGATGTTGACAGTAACATTCTTGAACGTGAATTATCTTTAACGTGAGGCAGTCAAAATCATTCAGTATAGAGCCAAGGAAATTTTTCCTGAGTTATTTTAAAGAAGAGAATAACTTACCAACTGCGCATCTTTCTTAGATGTTGCATCACTCGACTTGGCGGAATCAGAAATGCAGAAATTAGGATCCGAAGCCATATTTTCGATATGTGCTGGAGAGAGAAGTGTAAAGGAAGGGGTTGTCTTCTTTGGGACTAGGCTGCCAACATTTGAAATGCCGGCCGTCGAAACAGCTGGAAGAGTGTTGTTGGGCCGCGTGAGTTTGACACCGTTCGCGATTAGTAATTTCTGTGCCAAGTCATAACTAAATTCCATGACACAATGGCCGCCAGCTAGACGTACACTTGAAGTGAACACTTCAAGCTGCTGTACTGTCAAATAAGGCGATGGACCAGAAGAGTCAGGAATATTTCTAATTTGAGGGATGTCCTTCAATACAATAGTGAGCCACATTTTATCACCTAGGAAAATATCATAAGTAAACCAGGACAAACATTCTGTGTTTCTGGAAGTCCCCGTTGAACGTATTTCCTTAAGGAGTTTACGCATAAGCGCTTCCGTGGGTCGAAGAAAAATGACTTGGATTCGTTCACAGAACATAATGCAATTGACTTCCTCGGCACTTACGCGCACGGGAATCCAGGTGACTAAAGGTGACAAACAAAATCGACAGTATACCTTCATCATGAAAACTAAATGACAGTTCCCGAGAAGAAATAATGCAAGGCTTCTGTCTAGCATCAAAAACACCAACTTTTCCTATGCTGAGCACAACCAGAGGATATGAAAACGTGGACTGTGGAGAGCAGGAAACATTTTTGACAGGCTGTTCAATTAGACGGCGTTTAGCTCCGATTTGTTCGACTTTCGCCTGACTTGTAATTTCGTCAGCGAATTCGGGAGTAGGCTTTATAATTTTATTACAAACTGTGCAAGCGACGCCAGACGAATAAGAAAAACCAGCACAGTTTGGCGTTGAGCATTTGATCATAGTTTGTGAACTTAGTACGTTAGATCTAAGAATAAATTATTTTGTAAAACGAAGTATGAACCTTTTTTCAGCTGCCATGGCGTCGGCAACTTCATGAAGCATCTTCACGAGAAAATGTTGACACCCCCTAACAAGTACACCGCATTAACCAGAGCGGGTCTCGGGCTGAAGTTTGTATTGGTTAGCGCACGTCTAGTCAGAAACAAACAAAATAATGAGATCTTCAATTCGATTATGAATTGAAATACTCAGGTTCTACAAAAATAGATTTGCCATTCTTACAAAAGTATATCAGAACGTATTAAAACGGAGTAGATATCAAACATGCTGGCCTTTACCTAGACAGGTGAACACATCATTCGCTGATAGAATCCAGCATATGCATTCGGTCTAGAATTACCCCTTGACTGACGTTTACTGGGCACTCAACAAGTCTTTCGATCAAACCGTCTGGGTCGGGTACTCAATGAAATTGTCGGAAAATTGCAGCCAGTATTATAGGCAGCATAGAATTAACCACAAAGGCAA